GATTCCCAAGCAGTGCGTAAACGGTGAATGGAGTTGGGGGGTAGGCATCTCAGGGACTGGCCTAGTCGCTGGTAGAATTGCAGTCTTCTGCTGAGTTGTAATCTCTATATCAGTGGTTCTCAACCTTCCTAATGCCGTGACCCTTTAATACAGTTCCTCATGTTGTGGTGACCCCCAAACCATAAAATTATTTTCGTTGCTACTTCATAACTGTAATTTTTCTACTGTTATGAATCGTAATGTAAATATCTTATATGCAGGATGTATTTTAAGGGGTCACGACCCACAAGTTGAGAACCGCTTCATTCTTCAAAGAATGAAGATTAACTTTGAAGCTGATAAGCCCCTTGGATAGATAGCCTGGTACCTTGCTTGGTCACGTGGTTCATGGTCATCTTTCCAGGTAAGGAACAAAGGTTACTTTCCTCAGAGATGGCATGAAAGGAACCTCAAGACACCTGTGGGGACCTCAAAAACCTGAGGAATATACCCAAACTTATAGGTATTATAGGCAAAGCCTCATGGCAACTGTGTGGCTTGGCTTCTTTGCCCTGGGTATAAACTTTCTCATGAAATTCCAGCAAAGCATTTTTTTAAAAAAAATAACCTATGTGATCAACTATTATTCCTGTTGTCTGTATGCAAACAATCAGGCCAAATTATAACTAGACTTAATACAGTAAATAAATTGGTCTTAATTTGGCTCTTTAAAAAAAAATGAGAGTGATTTTAAAAAGAAAAATTGTGTTTCAACAGGAAATTATGAGAACGAATATGTTTTTTTCTTCCACAGACCATTTGTCATCATTCTTGCTGTTCTAACTTTTGCCCAATAATACGACATTTTATAATACTATTTGTCTGCACCAGGTTGCAAGCCCTACTTGCACCTAGGGAATACCATCTCTAGGCACCATTGCCACCTCCTTCTGTGCCCAGGCCTCATTGTCCCTCTGACAGAGAGCAAGGATCTCTTGGCTCTGAGAGAAAGAACCTTCATTCCTCCTCAGCATGAAGCAGTTTCCGAAGAGACTCCAGGAAGTAGTTTCAGAAGAAATCCGACATCCCCTTTCCCTGAAAGAATTCAGAGCTAAGATCCTTGAGGGGGGGACGTGGTAGGCAGTTAGACAGACATAAGCAGAGCAAGAAGGATGGGCCAACTGGAGGAGAGATCGATGGAACCCTGTGACATACTTCTGACCACTCTCACTGCTCTGAAGCTGGCAAAGGAGGAACCTATGGAGAACTGAACTTTAATTCTATTTGGAAAGAACGTGTAGTTTTGGTGTAATAGAAGGCATAGAGTATAGACATGCATTTTCAAGGGAAGAGAAAGTGGGTTCTAAAGCTGGTTGCTTCTGAAAGTTGTAAGATTTGTAAAGAAAGGTTTGTGAAAGTTGAAGAGAAATATTAAAAGGAAATTATAGGTATACTCAATAATTAATCAGATAAATGAATCTAAAGTAAACTCATACAGAACTTGTTTGGTTCTTTTCCAGTCATCAGACTTAAAAGGGGTAATCACCATGTAGCAGGGGTGAAATTACTGGCACTATAGCGATATAACGAATTTAAAAATAAAATTTAGTATAGTATAAGGTTAATAGATATCAAGCAATTTACCTATTCAGAGGGGAAAAAACTGACGGAGGGGGTTGAGGGGGTGGGGATCTATAATCTGATAGATTGAGCACTGGAATTAATCTGAAAAGTAATCATTATTTTAAATCTTAGAACATATGTACTTATGTGAATAGCGAGTTAAGTTTCTCATATATGAATAAGGGGTTAAGTTTTTATTTAAGTTTCCTTTCAAGGCCTGTGCAAAGTGATTGAGGAGGTGACTCAACTGTGAATCCAGCAAGCAGAACCCATAAGCAGGGTCAGCCCGACCCACCAGGACTCAGGACATTATCTCAGCAACATCATCTCATCACCTGATAACTAAAGGACAATAGTTGACATTCACAGACCCCCAGGGCTGCCTCACTCTAGCCTCTTTTTCTGTATAATCCTGTCCCTTGTGCCTTGCTGGGGAGACAGGAGTTGATGCTTGTAAGTGCCCTGTCTTCTTGGTTGGCTAGCCCACATAGACGAGTAATATGGTTGAACCCTTCCTTCATTATTGGACACAGCAACAGGCAGCCTGAGCCCAACTGGGGGTTTCCCGATAACATAACCACATTGCCACACCGGCCAGGGAGAAATATTTTTCATATGAGAAGTAGAACATATTACCAAACAGAAATATAACATGCTTTTAAATTGTGGAGTGTATATTTACATATGTTTAGAATATCTGCAAAGATATATAAAAGTATGTATAATTATTTTCAATTTAGTATGTAGGTGATTTTCACTTGTTTTAAACCTTTCTCTTTCCTACCTATAATCACGAATTATTTTTATAATGATAAAACCTATTTTTATTTGGAAAAAAGAAAATGCAGACACTGCCTGAGTTGGGGTGAGGGGTAGGGCAGGGGCCTGGCTCTGGGTTTGCACAAATGGGCATCCTTCTGCCCTCTAATTCCATCCAGGCATTACCTGTGCTCAGAGATGGGCATCAAGGGCCTTTCTTCCAGAATATTATCCATGATGCCATCCCCTACTGGCAGACACCAATTGGCGTGCTCTCCCACTTCTGTTATCAAGTTCTCCCAATAAATGGAAGATGCAGGGGATGGAGTGTGGTGGCCAGGGCTGTTCTGGTTGTCATGCCCCTTCCCCCAAGTCCATCAGAAAGAGCCCCCTGGCCTGGACTAGCCCCCTTTGCCCACCCTTCCCATGTTGCACTACCACCAGGTCCAGGAGGGGGCAGAAAACAGGGGAAGACAGGACTTGGATCTAGGCCAGGCTCTGGGCTGCAGAGGAAGGGGACAGATCACTTTGATGGGCATGTTGTACCAGGTCCCAGGGGTGGCTATGCCAAGAACTGAGGGTTCCATACGGGGGCTCTGTGTCCCCAAAGGTCAATCTTGGTCACCCCAGGTCAGCCCTAAGTCACGCACCTCCAGATAATCCTCCATCCTAGAGTCCAACATCTACAGCTCAGTCAGAAATTTGCCAAGGAAGGGAACACACTGGACAAACAAGGTGAGGGCAGGATGAGCCCCTGCCCTCAGGCAACCCACAGCCCTCCCCAGAAAACCTCCCACCCTCAGCCTCCTGGCCACCCCAGGGTTCCCATGGGGAGCAGCCCAGAACCCTCAGGCAGTCCCCTCAATTGTGCCTTCCCTGACTCTCCAGGACTCCTCATGATCACCCCCTAGGACTCCTTTGGGCAAATCACAGGGTCAGTGGTCCCAGGCCAGCCCCAACCCCTTATGCATCCTGCACCCTCCTCTTCCAAGCTCTCCCCTTGGTCACTTCTAAGGGAGGGTTTCAGGTTCTGGGGAAACAGGAGGCGGGGATGAAGGAGGAAGGCCTCTCTCTCTTGACTTGGAGGCCTCCAGCTGGGAGGACAGAGCTCCCTCTCCTCTGACCCTGGAGTGTCCCTCCCAGGCAGGCTTCCTCACCTTCTTCTGCAGCCTCTTTTTGGATACTTGGATGTTTAGTATCTGAGTTCACATCTGAGGACTGTACACCCTTGAGTGGAGGAGAGGGTAATTGAGGTCATGCTCACCTCACCCCATTTCCCCACCAGCCCTGACCTCACACCCTGGCCCTCTGACCCAAGTCAGCTGGTACCAGTGCCACCCGGACTCCAGCATGCTCTGATTCTGGATGGCTCCCAGCTACAACGCTCACTCACTGTGTATGACCTTAGGCCTGGGCCTGGCCTCCCTGACCCGTTCTCACCTTGGAAAGTGGGAGACCTCCGTCTAGCTCAGAGGTTCTCCTGAGGACTCAGTATCATTACTGTCATCAATGTTCTCACCCTCAGCCCTCCAGGGGGGACAGGGCAGGGAGCTCTGCACAGTCCTTTCCTGCCTTGAACTCATGACCACCCTGTGAGTCCTGCAGCAGCGGATGGTCACCCCTCCATGCCACTGCCCAGGAGATGGAGGACAACAGAGGGTCAGTTATGTTCTTAGACTGTTCCAGCCCTGCTGGCTGTGGTCACCATAGACCCCTAGGTCCCTCTCTCATCTCTGATGATTTCAGCACCTGCATTACTGTCACCCCCTTCACTCTATCTTAGTCATAATTCTTAGTTCAGTACCACGTAATGACCTTCCAACACTACAGATTCTAAGCCCTCAGACCTCTTGTCCTCCATGCAGTGCGGGAGCAGCATGATGGAAATATAAGAGCCAAGCAGGGTGCTGGGGGCTCGGGTGGGAGCTGGGAAGAGCACTTTGGAACCAGAGCCCAAAGTGAGGGCTCAGCTGGGATGTTTATATTTTGCTGGTCACCTATGCATATCCCACAGCAGCCTCAACTATCACCTCGATCCCACAAACCTTCACATCATCCTACACAACATCACCTCCTCACCATTTCTCTCTTTCTCCGCTTTACCTTTTGTTCAGAGCACCCAGCACATCCCGACTTCAGGTTATGCCTGTGCTGGCTGGTTTGACTCTTTCATGCAAACATGCCATCATGACCAGCTCTTTGGGTTGAGCGCTGCACTTCTAGTGCCTGATCCATAGGAGGCGCTCAATAGATACCTGATAAAGGAACCAGGGAATGAATTCCTCTTAACCCAATCTACAAATCTGATGAGATCCCAATCAAAATTCCAAGGGAATTTGATCATATAATTCAAAATGCACACATACTAAAATTTAAAATGTGTATTTTTTGAAACAACTTTTATTTGCAGGAATTGATTCAAAATAAATGTTCGGAGGTATCTATACAGCAATGATCATCAAAGAATTATTTATAAAGTAGAAAACAAAATCATTTTAAGTCCATTAACTACAGCCAAATTATACAATTTATGACGAAGCAGGAGAAAAGATACTAGAAGATATTATTTTTCAGAAATAACTTTAATATTCTTAAAACTTACAAACATAAACATAACAAAAAAGACTTATAACTATGTGGTAAGTGTATATTTACATGTATTATGAGGATATCTGAAAGGATAAATACAAATATTTGTATAGTTATTTCTTAATCTAAAAAATAGACATTATGTTGAGAATAATTTCCACATCTGCAGTCAATCATTCATTGACTTGATTTTATGAGTTTTTCCCCTGGCCACCTAGGACTGTGGCTCCAGCTGGCAGGACCGGATGTAACTGCAGGACAGAGTGGAACCTGTGAGCTCCCAACCTCAGGTGTCCCTTCCAGTGTCAGGAGCCCCAGGAATTGCTACACAGCAAGGTCTGGGGGGGCAGTCAAGGAGCCATGGACACAAGTTCTCTGGACAGACCAGCAGAAAGAGTCCACCCCTGTCCTTGCCCAACTCCGGCCCGGCCTCACCTCTCATTCTTGCTGAGCTGCTCCAGGGCCCAGAACCAGGCCTGGAATTGCTCCTCAGGCTCTATTTTGTATTTCTGGGCAGCCTCATGCAGAACCACTATCTACTCCAGTACTTTATTCACCTGAAGCCACAGGGAAGGAGAGGATGCAGACAAGGCCCAAATGGGGGTGGGGAGTGGAGCAAGGGCTCCGTCCTGGGTCTTTGCACACAGGGGCACCCTCCTTCCTCCTAACCCCACCCAGGCAGTACTGTGCTCAGAGATGGGCATCAACAGCCCTTCTTTCAGGAGGTTTTCCTTGATTCCACGCCCCTGCCCCCAACCACCAACTGGAGGGTTCTCCCACTTCTGTTATCAAACTCTCCTGATAAATGAAAGATGCAGGGGATGGAGCCCAGGAGTGTGCTGGCCAGGGCGTCTATGATTCTCACTCCCTCCCCTGCCCCACAGGCTGTGCCACAGCTTTTAACCTTATCCTTTCTTTCTAAGTTGATCTGATTACCCTGGAAGGCAGACAGCCAAAGTCCATCAGAAAGAGCCCCCTGGCTAGGACTGGCCCCCTATACCCACCCTTCTCATGGTGCACAACCACCAGGTCCCAGGTGGGATGGGAAACAGGGAAAGACAGGAATTGGATCAAGGCCAGGCTCTGGACTCCAAAAAAGGGGGGACACGAATGGCTATGATGGGCCTGTCGCTCCAGCTCCAAGGGAAGGCAGTGCTGAGAACTCAGAGCTCAGTATGGGGGCTGTCTGTCCCCAAGGTCAATCCTGGTCACCCCAGTCAGGCCCCAGTTAACCCACCTCCAGATCATCCTCTATCCTGGTGTCCATCACCTTCAGATCTTTGAGGTATTCTCCCAGGAAGGGAACACACTGGACAAACAGGGTGAGGGTGGGATGAGCCCCTGCTCTCAGGTGCCGCACACGCCCTCTCCTGAAAGCCTCCCACCCTCAGCCTCCTGGCCACCCCAGGCTTCCCATGTGGAGCAGCCCAGGTCCCTTAGGGCCTCCACTCAATTGTCCCTTCCCTCACTCTCCAGAAACTCCTCTTGATCAGCTCCCAGGACCTCCTTTGGGCAAACCACTAGGTCAGTGGTCCCAGGCAAGACCCACCCCCATGTCCAGCCTGCAAGCACCTCCCCCAGGCCCTCCTCTTGGTCATTTCTAAGGGAGGGCTTCAGGTTCTGTGGGCACAGGAGGTGGGGCTGGAGGAGGAAGGCCTCCCTCTCTTGACTTGGAAGCCTCCAGCTGGGAGGACACAGCCCCCTCCTCTGACCCTGGAGCGCCCCTCAGATAGGCTCACTCACCTTCCGGTGCAGCCTCTTGGATCCTCGATGGTAGAGCATCAGAGTGACAAACCTGGAGGCTGGGTGGAGGACAGGGTCACTGAGGTCATGCTCACCTCACCCCATTCCCCCACCAGCCCTGACCTCACACCCTGGCCCTCTGACCCAAGTCAGCTGGTACCTGTGCCACCCAGACTCCAGCATGCTCTGCTTCTGGATGGCTCCCAGCTACAATGCACCCTCGGTGTGTGTGACCTGGAGCCTGGGCCTGGCCTCCTTGACCCGTTCCCTCCTCTGGAAAGTGGGAGACCTCCACCGAGCTCACAGGTTCTCCTGAGGACTCAGTGTCATTCCTGTCATCAATGTTCTCACCCTCAGCCCTCCCGGTGGCACAGGGCAGGGAGCTGCGCACTGTCCTGTTCTGTCCTGAACTCGTGACCACCCTGTGAGGCCTGTAGCATGCGTGGTCACCCCTCCATGTCAACAACAAGGAGACTGACTGGCAGCGAGTGCTCTAGGGGCGCAGTGGGAAGACTCAGAGAGCACACCCCTCTGTCTCTGGTCCAGACAGTAGGACCCGAGGCCAAGCAGCCCTTTTGTTCCCCTGGCCTGGGGCAATCCCCATCCCTGGGACAGGCAGGAGGCACTCCCCTTGGAGGTGCGGAGAAGACACGAGTGGCAGCAGGGCCTTGGCACCCTGAGGACAGGCTGGGCTGGTTGAGGGAAGAAATCTCCCCCACCCTCCCATTCACCCTACAGCCTGGAAGAAGCGAAGTGCAATAGGGAGGGGCCAGCATGGAAGCCAGAGACCTGCTCAAAGTGCCAGCTCTGCATCCCGTCCTGGAACAGCCCGGCCACCAACTTGTGTGCCATGACCGGGCCTCCTGCTCTTGAAACTGCCCCCCCACCCCCACCTGCCCATGGACCAAACAGATCCCTCTTCCTGGTAATCAGGACCGAGAGGGTGAACATTTTCAGAGAATCTTCAAGTGACAAACAACAAAAGCTGCATCCTGTGCAGTCCCCCCTTCCCTCACGCCCCCCTCTCTGCAGACCTCCAGGCTCGCTCTACCTTGATTAGCTGTTCCCTCCTCAGTATGTTGTCCTTTCTGCAGAGTTTTTTCATTGTCAGTGCCCGCTTCCTGAGTGGAGGAAAAGAGGAAAGACATGTTTAGGAAAGATGGGGGAGTCGGATTCAGGGCAAATTCTTGTCAACAATGTCATGTTTCAAACTGCCTCAGGGTTCCTCTGAGCAGGAAGGTCTCCCTGGGACGGGGGCAGGGCTCTCATATTGGTCACGTTGGACCCCTCTCCATATCTATGGAGCAGCTCTCTTTTGACCAGTTTGGGTTTGAACTGGGCACACTGTTCAGGTGCTGAAAACACTTGAAAATCTCCCATTCGGCTCAATGCCGTCTCTGACATTGGAGGAAACTGACTCCTGAAGCAGAGCCAGTGGCCTGAGGTCCCATGGAGCCTTAGACACCCAGCCCACCAGCCCAGTCCATGTTGCCATGGTTGGCTGCCTCCCAGGAGGTGAGGGGACATTGGGAGACATACGGGAGACATCTGCCCACGACTCCTCCAATGGGAGAGGCCTACGGACCTAGAAACTTTCCCCCATGTTTTCTTCAATCGATGGATGGGCACACTCTGCAGAGCGGCCAGGATGGCATGCAGGGAAAAGTTCCTTAGGCTTCTTCCCCCAATGGGGAAGGGGAGACATGGGCTGTGAGGTGGGAGCTGCAGTTGTACCTTCAATCCCCCTTGAATGACACCCATTCATGCTGGGACAGATGCTCAGGGAGGGCACGTATAGCAGCCAAAGACCAACTCTCAGAGCGAGGAGGATCCCAGCTCAACCCAAGGAAGGAGCCAGGTAGCAAGTGAGCCTCCCAACACCGGCTCCTGGGCATCAAGGTCCGCGTGCCCCTGGTAGAGAGGACATGGGGGCTGTGCTGGGGCTCAGGCCTCAGGCCTCATTCCTGAGAGCTGACCAAGCAGCAGAGGCATTTTTCAAGGCTCCGCATAGGGACGTTACTGGGCCTCCCCCAACAGACCTTGGCCACCTTCATCCAGTGCTCCACCACTTTGGCCCTGTCCTGGGCCATCATGCTTGGGTCCCCAAGGCAGGTGGTGATCACACAGGTGGCCACATGATTGAACTGTCTGACGGGGGCACTGACAGTGGAGGCCACGTGCTCCTTGCCCGGCTTGGCCCCCTGGGGCCAGACGGAGCC